TAATCTGCTCTGACCCAGCCCCAGAGCTGCAGTGGTGTTACCACCCCCGGTGGGATTTAACATCCATGTGGATGTGGCAGTTGGGGATGTGATTAGTGGTGGCATTGGCAGTGCTGGGGGATGGTTGGACTTGATGGTTGAACTTGCAGAGGGTTTTTCCACCCTCAGTAATGCTGTGATTCTCCTCCCAGGGAGAATAAGGGTAATGCCCTAAGCCTTGAGTAACATCCCTCTGCTCCCCTCCAGCTCCAACACACACACACAGCCAAAAACTGTAGGAAAACTCTTTTACTTTCCTCCTCCACATCCACAACCCTCTCCCATGGCACAGCCTGTGGCAGGCAGGAACCTTTGGGGTGAGAAGGCTCAGTCCCACATGGGACACCAGGGAATGGTTGCATGGGAGGGAAGAGGACTTGGAGCAGGGACACACTCAGGGCATATCCCAATCACAACAGATCCACAGGGCACTTACTGAGCACAGCTGGGCATGGGGCATGGGCAAGGGTGGGACCATGGACTGCTGCAGCCCTGGCTGGGCAGGGAAGGGTTTAGAGAGGCTAAAAGTCACCTCCCTTGCCCCAGGTCAGTGTGGGAGCAGTGTCCATGGTCCCTCCTGGCTCCTGCATGGTGCCACCAGCCCCATGGCACATGGAGAGGATGAGGAGGAGACAAGGATCCCCCAGGGCAGGGTCTGACCTGCTCCTGTGCTCCTCCCAGCAGAACTGGGGCTGTACAGAGTCAGTGGATGCAACAATCCCTTGGGCATGACCGTTATATACACATATATACAATCATTCATCCCTTCCCTCCTGGACACACAGGCTGGGAGAGATGCATGGAGTGTCCAGGCTTTGTGTCCTTTGTCTCCTGGTCAGGGCATGGTTTGAGGAAGGTTCCTCCCAGTCTGGCTCTCCTCTTGCCCTGGCTTTTTGCAGTCCAGGTCCTGGAGCAAGCAGGGAGTGAGCTGAAATCCATCAGGAGACACAGTGTGAGGCTGACAGGGAAGGGCAGAGGTGTCCTCGGGTTGGAAAGCAGCAGCTCCCATTCCAGACTCAGCAGCAGGAAGGCAGGTTTGGGGTCTGCTGTGTCCTTTGCTTGTGTTTTACTGGTGATTCCCCCATGGAGCAGCTCCAGTGGAGTATGTGGAGATTCTCCCTGAGCAGTTTGACATCAGCTTGTTCCCAGCAAGGGCTGGGAAAAGCCCCCGAGGTGTGTGTGGAGCTCTGCTCTGAGGCAGAAGCACAGATCCAACCCTGGAGCTCTCCTGCCAGGGACAGAGATGGCTGGGAGCTGTGATCCTGCCTACCCCTGTGCAGGTGTGGGAGGGAAGGGACCTCTCCATGGAGTCTGCACCAAAGACAAGGCTCTCCCCACAGTGCCAGAGCCTGAAGTTCTCTGGAGCCCCAGCAGTGAGGTTCAGTGGGAGATTGGTACCTGAAACAAGTCCAAGGCTGTGCTGGTGCTGCCGTGAGGAGCTGCAGAGATGCAACAGGAAGGCTCCAGGTCCAGCCCCAGCCTCTCCCTGCCCATCCGAGCAGGATTTGTCTCTGGAGCACCATGGGGCACTGGCCACTACAGCACCTGGAGCCAGGTTAGGTCCGAGGTGGGCACAGGAAGAACCCAAGGGTGATGCCACAGCACCAGGATCCACACCAGAGGGCTGGGAAAGCAGGACAGCAGGGATTCTCCATGCAGGTCAGTCCCATAGGGGCTCGGGAGAGCTGTGGAGCTGTGCTGGGAGTCCTTGTCTGCCCGGGGGGACACCAGTGGTGGGGAGGGGAAGGGGAGATGGTTCCTCATAGGATTTGGGGATCACACAGGTGCTGGGACTGATAGTCTATTGCAGCAGGGACCTGTTGCAAACCCCCGGGGTGACAGCAGGTGAGGCAGCACTGCCACGAGTGGAGCAGGATCTCTGCTCCAGGGGCGCTCGCGGGACACGCAGGGCTGTGCTTCCCATCGCCTCCAGTCCGTGCTAATGCAGCTCTCACGGCTCCAGCCGGGAGCTGTCACTAATCCTGCCCGCCCGGGATCAGTCTGTGTGTGAAACACTTGCAGGCTCAGCCTGTTGGCTCTGCAATAACCGGCACAGATTTCCATCACGCCGCCAGCAGCCCTGCGAGGCTTTCCAGAGCAGATCCAATATCAGGTCAAGTTCCCACTAAAATCAAATGGCTGGGAAGGAAAACTTCGTTACTGGCAGCAGCAGCAGTGCTGATGTTTATTAGTCAGCAATGAACCAGCAGAAGGTTTTATTTTGCTGGTTTTACTGCATGTGTTGAGCTGTGGCTGTGGCTCATTCCTTGCACACTCTGAGCACATTTTGCTCTCCTGCCCTTTCTCCCGGGTGGAAAAGCAGCTGTGGAGAGCCCTGGGAGCCCCTAGGAGTCACCTCATGCCCCTGCCCTGCTGCATCCCACTTTTGGGGTGTCAGTGACAGCACCCCATGCCCCTCACTCCTCACCTGCAGCCTGTTATCCCCACCCCAGGAGAGCCCCTGGGTGCAAGGGGGGAATGGGGTATTTCGGATCACAGCTCTGAGCTGCCAGAAGTGTCACTGCCTGGAGGGATCTGCCAGGACAAACAGGTCCTTCCCAGGGCTAGGGAGCCAGGCTTTCCTTATTTCAGCATTAAACCAGCACAGAGTGAGTGCTCCTGGCTGGAAGCTCCTGCTGGAGGCTCCTGTGTGGGTACAACAGGGAACAGGTGTTTTCCCACACCATCCACTGGGATTTTGGTGGCATGGAGAGGACTGGGATGAAGTCAGGCCCTGCTGCAGGTAAGTGCTGAGGGCTCCTCACACCTGCCTCCCCATCCCAGCCCTGTTTTCCACACAGACACCTCCTTCACCGCCCACCAGGCAGGAGATGCCCACGGCCCTGCTGACGCATCGCTGCGGCTGTGACACGGAGCCTTAGCCCAGCACAGGCTCTGCTGCTCCTGGCCAGCCCCACTCGATATTTCACCCTGCCACGACCTGCTCACTGCTCCTGCTTTAATTCCTGCAGCATCAGCAGGGACCCTGTGCTGCCTGGGGTTGGTTTTACTGCCCAAAACAGAGCTGGGATGTGTTCACTACCCAGCGAGGCGACAGGCAGGTGCCCACGCAGTGCCCCTGAGCACTCGAACACTGTCACATGCTCCTCAGAGGAGCAGTAAATAGTTAAATGCAAATAAATGCTGACAATGTGCTGCTTTGTCTTGCAGAAAACCCCTGAGCCCTGTGCTGTGTCCAGCAGAGCCACAGAGCAGGTATGCAGCTGGCACTGAGCTCTTTCGGGGGCTGCTGGGGTGGCACAGCTGGATGTGACTGATGTCCCAGGATGGGACTTGCTTCTCCCAGAGCTGGTGCTCTCAGAGCATCGACTAGGAGTACGTGGCTGAGCCAAGTGACACCCCAAAACAGGTAGCAGTGCTCACCCTCACCTTCTGCATCACTTATGGCACCAGGTGAAGGCTCTGAATCCCCCAGTGACCCCATCAGGGTGAGATGGGAAAGGGGGGGTGAATGAGCCCCAGCTGCTTTCTCCACCTAAATCCCTGTGTTCCCACGGCTCAGCTCTGGAGCAAGAGCCTGTGAACACAGCCTGGCCTCTGGCACAGAGGCTGCTCCGGGCGCTCCGGCAGGAAGACAGCACTTCTCCCTCTCCCCTGGGCTTTCCCTCGTGCTCCCGCTGCGCTGGCCAAGGAAGGGGCTTTGCTGGGGGGTCAGAGCTGAGCTGGAAGGGCAGACAGGGACAGGGAAAGGAGCAGGGACAGAGCTGAGTGCTCCAGCGTGGTCTTGAGAAGCCAAGTACAGCAGAGGCTGGGCTAGATCCACCACCCCTTGCTGTACAGGGACCAGGGGGGTGGATGTGTGCTGCCCTGCTCTCCCTCGTGCCCAGGTGCCCTGTTGTCTGCTCTGCCTGGTCCCGTTGGCTAGGAGAAGAGTGGGGACCAAGCTACCAGCACCGTCCACCTCCCGTCCCCATCCTCTCCATCACCCCTGCCTCCAGCGGGACTTGCCTGGAAGGAGCAGGGCAGGCGTCA